CGTAAGTCTGTCTTTTTGTCCGTAAAAACGTTAACATTAGTCATAACTTTTGAGTCGGTGGGGCAACGGCTTTCAAATTTCACAGGTGTATTCCTTCTGACAAGACCTTTTTTAGGGGTCCACCAAACTTTACCTCTTGACCTTCAAGTCTGACCTAATTTAATTTTCCTTAAAATTTCCAAACTTTACCAATGGCAATAACTTTTGAACCATTGATGTTCGAGGTTTTATTTTTTTTTTCACTTGTATATACATTGTGATAAGAGCCTTCAATGGGTATAAATATTTTGACCTTGACTGTAGAGTCTGATCCAATTATAAAAAAAACTTTGACTGTAACTTTCGAACAGTTAGTACATGGGCTTTCATATTTCACATGTGCATTCCTTGTGACAATTAAGACCTTCCTTGGGATACCAATAATTTTGACCTTTTGGCCTTAACCTTGGAGTTTGACTTGCATTTGAGAAACTTCCTACCTCATTAAAAGCTTCCACAAACACATCTTGTTATTTATACATATAAATAGACTTTTCTTTCAAAACTACTTCTATGCCCCCATAATCGAAGATAAGGGGATAGATAGTTTTTGCCCTCTTCTTCTGTCCGACTGTCTGTCTGTTTGTCTGCAAAATCTTTAACTTTGTCCATAACTTTAGTGGATGGGGCTATGGCTTTCATATCTCACAGGTGTATTCCTTGTGACCTTTCTTTGGGTACCCCTTGTCCTTGACCTTGAAGTTTGACCCCCTTTTAAAAAAAAAAAAAACACACACACATCCAAATTTTAACCTTGGACTTAACTTTTGAACAATTGGTGCTAGGGCTTTCATACTTCACATGTGCTTTTTTGTGTCAAGACCTTTCAATGGGTATAAATATTTTTGACCTTTTGACATTGACCTTAGAGTTTGGCCCACTTAAAAAACTTTAACCATGGCTATAACTAGAACAAGTAGAAATACTTGCATGCTCTCATATTTCATGTATATTCCTTGTGACAACTTTTATTTGGATACCAACGATTTTGACCTTTTGACGTTGGAGTTAAATTTGCATTGAGAAATCGGAGTTTTACTAACACATCTTGTTTATCGTAGTTTATGCTTTATTGAATTTTTGTTTCAAAATGATAATGAATTTATTCATTAAAGAAGCCCAATGGCCAAATGGTCAATTTGGTACTTTAGGCTCAATATTAGCATGATAATTAAGGAATTATTTTTGTTATTTCTTCACAGTAGTTGGTACAAAGGAGAATACTTTTACGGGCAAACATTTATATGTATGTATTACTGTCTTAAGACAGCATCTGGTACCTTTGAAATCTGTTAGCAAATTTTGTTTTCTTTTATCAATCTTATAGATGTTTACTGTACATCCTACCACAAAATAAGGTCAAGTGATACATTCTTACATTATTTTAACCAATCATAGTCTAATATGTCATCTGGGTCTAATTATTTGGAATCATGGGTTTATATAACCTGTAAAATAATCCAATCCATTTAATAATATAGAAAAGATGGAAGGCAGATTTAAATAGACTGCATGTGAGATGTGCTGCTAAGCCTCAGTTAGATGAGGTATCTACCCCGGTAAAGCAACAGCAATTTAAAATTGATTTTTTTATTTCTATTTAGCACAGCATATAAAAGATAGCTTTATATGCTAGTTTTAGTTCAGGCTATTACCAAAAAGAGTATATGCAAAAGATTCCCAACATTTTGGCAATTTAAGCGAGAATTAAATTTTAGCATTTTTTACGAGGGATTTGAGATCCCTAAAATGGATTATCTCTAATAAATCCTACTGGTGTAGATGTTACCCATATACCAGGGGTATTCATAATTTTCATAAAATCGTTAAAATTTAATTTTTGCTTAAACCATATTTCAATTTTTCAGGAAAAATCCTCTAAGTGTCTTTCTTAAATTTCCAGTTAATTGGTTTCATTTAAAACTGTTTTCCATGAAGGATGTCTGGTATTTGTTTATTTGATGTTTGATGTCCATAAACTTTTCATATTTTCATCTTCTTTACCAGAAAAAGTGGTAAATTATAACTGAATTTAACTTCGTCAATCAAATAAGTATTTGAATCATGATTACCAGTAATTTTAAAAATACAACGAATATGTCTAAATGAGCAAAATTTTCACACTCTGAATCTGCACCCTTTTAACCTCAGTTCCTCAGATCCTTGGATATTGAAGTACTTTCCGTCACACTGAGTTCAAGATAATGAGGTTTGACTGTTAAACAACTAATACCAAAATAACTAAAAATTTATGTATTGAACTGCATTTGTATCATTCATAAACTTTCATCCAAGCTTCCTGAAAACAAATAATATATGTCTGTATACATATAAAAGTATTTTCAGTACAATCCATAGAGAAAACTTTCACTCCGTGATACAAGTTTAAATATTTATTAAATTGCTCAACTGTAAGTTTGTGAGAATGAACCAGAGTTTAATCAAAAGTACATTATTTCTCTATTTGATATCAGCAGTGATCATGACACTGTTATGTACTGATACAACTCAAAAATGTTTATCACAAGCAGAACAGAATGATCTGGCAACATTTTAACACAAACTTGTCTCTAATTACACATTCACAGTACAAAAAATATCTCAACTATAAAAAAAATATTACACATATTATAGCAGTAATTATGAACATTGTGAGATACTGCTCACAGATATCTGGGGAGAAAATGACAAATGAATTGATACCTTTTTCTCCAATTAATATAAATAAAAATCCTTTACATGAGTATACATCAATCTGTATCCAAAATAGGCTTTTAAATGGATTACTTTTTAAAGTAAACATTTCTTTTCATCATTATTTCCTTCTATACATATAAAGTTGTAAAATTTTCAGGAAATTATTTTAAAATCTTGAATGAATCACTCTATGCTTTCCATCATATTCCATATTCTAAAACAGATATAAAGAAATCCATAAAACCAGCGAGCACTTTTTTGTGCAATAAATACAAGAATACAATAACAATTGAGAGAGTGTATATTATTCAATAACGAACATAATAAATGTACCCTGGGGTTACCCTGGGGTTGAATTTGAAAACCTATATACTTTTACAATAAGGATTAAGTAAAAAAATGGACAGTGTCTAAATTCATTGCCGTTAGAATGTTAAAAAATTTTATTATTATTTAAAGTCCACTTCTTGATTAAAATTTTTTTTAAGGAGAGTAAGGAAATTTTGTAAGTGGTGTAACCTTAAGCTAGAGGAAATAATTACATATTCCAGTGATCATTAGAAATAGACATGAACAATTTCTCTAAAAATTTTCCAAGATACTAAAGGCCAAATACATCAGACAAAAATCTTTTTTTGTTGTTTGGGTTGTGTAAAATAAGGATTACAACATCAATGAATGAAAGCCCACAAAATAAGAACAAGAAACACATGGAATGCAAGAAAGCGAAATGCAGTTAATGAAGGCAGGTCAGTCAAGGTTAAGGGTACCAGGTTACAGGGTACCAGTTTTGTTTAAACACGCACCTGCAAATAAGGCAAATTATTAAATAAACACAACAATAATCTCAAAAATTAAAATAGAAAATGACATGCAGTTTAAATCAACAGCGTTAAACAAAATCTGAAATTAAGAATTGCTTACTGTGAAAAAAGCTTTTAACATTTTTAGACTTTAAATGCAAAACAAAAGAAAATTAAACAAAGGAAGCATAGGTTAAAATTTTTAAAATCAATTTTTTTATATTGTTATTAACCATAATACAAGTGTATATTGGTCAAAACAATTTTTGTGTAAAGACAACTTGGCTATGAGTTCTGTATATTAAGATACATATCTTCAGAGATCACTGACTCAGACATGTTGAATTAGAAAGATAATTTTTATATTACAATCATGAAAATTTTTAATATTGATGGTTAAACAAGTCTTGAAGAATATATACTTTTTTTATTATAAAATATATATCTTTAACTTTTTAGCATGCACTTGAGCCAAGTTGTCTGCATGCTAATTAACCAGTAAAACAAATTTTGGTTAGAAAATTGAGCTGCTTGCTTGTATTAGCAATTTCATGCACATAAATAAACCAAGACTTTCAAAATAATGCAGAAACCAGGGTAATATAAAATTTTGTTATTTGTATAACAAGCATTTGCAGAATATAGTGTAAATGGTGGTAGAAATATACAAACTTAAAAAGTTTCTTTGGTGATTGGTGAACATTCAATTATGAAAGCATAAACTGTGACAATCATTAACTAATTCCTCCTATAAGAGAGAGAGAGAGAGAAAGAGAGAGAGAGAGACTGGATAGATGGACATTGCTTGGAGATTAATCACGTGAGAGTGTGTAACTCAGTAACCAATCATATTCCATAAATGTAAATGTAAATAAATGGGGCAAAAAATGCACATTCCCTTTTATCAATTAAAATGAAAAAAATATATATCATGCAATCAACTCCTAGAATGATAAAGTTTTTTTAATGTTAATACTGTTCTAGCCATTCAGACATTCCAGACCATAGGAAAATATCGACAAGATACCTCACATTTGTTCATTCAGATCATATAATGTAAGATTCCAGTTTATCATGCTGTTAAAGTTTTGGCCAGATGTTTGTTTTATTCTCCATCAACCACTGGCCAATGGGAAAAAGAATATAATATTCATTCAATTAACTTACTACTCGTCTGCTCTTGAATGGTGGTAAAAACTATAAATTACGAGAAGTGAAATCAAGATTATTTACAATTTTTACACCAACTGTAAAGTGAATACTAAATTAGTTATTTACATTTTTTACACTAACTGTATAGTAAAATTAAAATTATTTACAAGTTTTATACTAATTGTGAAGAAAATCTTCCGTGTTAAAATGTTCATGAAAATGCCCTACAATACCCATAATGAACAGCATCAAATATTTCCCATCTGAATAAATGTTAGCCTCCATTGAACATTATACAGTACTTTTATAAGAGTTATTGTGGTCCAGATACACCAGTCTTTGGTATTTTCTTTGTAGCATATATCACACATTTTAGTAGGCAATATGTTCTCTTAATATTTTGGTATTTCTTAAAATAATGGTAATACTAGTAGTTTCGGTACATAATATGAGCAATATGTAGCCTCAATCAGACCAGTATATGGCATTTTACCTTAAACCCATGTCTTGCCATAAAATACTAGAAAAGAAGACAAGACTTCAAACAATATCATATCATTACTAAAATACAGAGGTTGTTATTCTATGACAAAATATTATTTTGACTATTGTGACCCTCTCCATTTAAGACCTGCAAAATTAGCTATTATTTTGAATCAAAACTGAATATAAATGCAAATTTTTATATTGATAATAAATTCTGGCATCATGTATTGTATACAGTTACATGATCTGCCTGCAAGTTTTTGTTTACATATTAAGATATATTCTTTCATAGAAAGTTCAACCTTATATATATCCACAGTTTCATTATGATTAATACAAATTTAAAAAAAAAACTGAAGAAAAAAAAGCAAGCAATAAAATATAACATATATGGTATCAAATACATGTGTATATGAATATTTCATAAGAGAAAAAAAGATGTATACTAAAGCAAAATTGCAAGATCCCGTACATGTATAGGGGGTATACTCACATAACATTTTGTAGAAATTAACATACAACCTTGTGTATTATCACAAATTCTTCAGTAAACTTATAACAAGCAAGCATGTTAATGTTGTATCATGCATAATACATGCTGCTATTTTTACATACAGTTTTGGTGAATACAATGCGCTTTACCCCTGTCCCTTGCCCTAATGCAAAGGTAGTGCAATAACCGCTTCATGTATAAATTAGTTGAGAAATCTGACATTTCACTAATCTACTGGCATATAACAGGATTAAATGGTGATATATTTTTGCCCCCTTTGATTAAGTGGCTTCAGAGACTAGTTTGGATATTGTATCTATTTTGACAAATTGCTTTTCTTTTAAAATAGGTGCAAACAATTCTGTTACAACACCTAAACACCAAAAAGCTTTCACTTAATAGCAAAATATCTATCAAAGACTAAAATATTGCTGAAACTCTGAATAAAAATATAAATGCTGGCACAGGAAATGTACCCCTAAAAGCTACACATTTTCACAATACAGAGGGTGTATAATACATATCAGTTCTGATAATGATTCACAACAATGCTAATACTGGGGAGGGTGCATAGCATTGTACACATGGTGCTCATCTGGCAAGCAACAAGGATTTGATTTTCTTTGAGTGATAAAATAAATATGTCACCAGCCTAGGAAGGGGGGAGACACTGACTCAGTGCTAAAAATATCACAATGTTTACATTACAAATGAGTTTCCTCATCTTGAGTGGCTACGGGAAGTGTGTGAGGTTCCTTGGGTGGCATGACAGGGGGCTGGGGGCGCTGAGGTCTTGCACTACCTTGATGTAAGCGGTTAGAAGACAAATGCTCATTGGACGAGGATTGAAGTCGCCCGTCAGGAGTTAGTAGATTACCAGATCCTTGTTTATCTAGGGATTCATAAGAATTAGTGGATAGTCTACCTTGATCATTGTCAGGGAACGAAGATATGGCAGGTCCAAACTGACCAGGCGTGCCAGTGGAGGCTGACCGCTGATGGTTTGGTACTGCTGGGGGAGGAACCTTTGGTCTGTCTGGGGGCGGGACAGAGGGCCTGTCAGAGTGAGAATGTCTCTCGTGCATCGTTGCTGATCGTTGTGGGGGGTGACCTCCCAGGGGTTTCTCGGGAGGAGCGGGTTTGTCTGGCTGAGTTTTGGGCTTACTCTGCTCCTGGTTTGGCACAGTTTCTCCTGGTGAAGCCTCCATCTGTCGGGGCCAGGTCTGGGCCTGGGGAACAGGTGGCCGGGCTTGTGCTGTCACAGCGATGCTGTAGGGTCGCTCAGGTAAACTTGGTCTCTCTGGGGGTGGGGGTGCTGGCTTCCTTGGAACTCTCTTCTGAACTTTTGAAACCTCAGCACTACAGAAGAAAGATCATTATCAAAGAAATAGTTATACAATAAAAAAAAATTGTTCATGATTTTGAATTAGAGGCCTAATTCAAAGGCTCATATGTTCACATAGAGACACTTAGACACCTGTAGACACTACTTGTCCAATATGAATATTTACAAGGACCCAATATATTTCAATACTTTCCCTCAAAGTGTCTTCATTAAGATTCTTGCTGTCAATGATTTTTTTAAATTAAGTTTATTATCTTTGAGTGAAGTAAACTGTTCCATAACAAATGCTTCCCTTGTAACATCATCTGGTGCTTATGTGATGTCTGTCCATAAGCATCATAATGAGCCACTTTAGATTGATTCCTTATAATGATTGATCTTTTCCAGTATTAATTATTGAGTGTTAACATATGATTACATTGACCACAACACCAGTATACTTACTATTCTGAGTCATTGATGATTCTGTGTTCCACCTGAGTCTGGTTTGGTGGAGACGTAGGAACATCATTTGTCGATTCAGCAGTCTCCTGATTGGTCAATGACTGGTCCAAGTCCGTCAAATCAGAATTGTTCATTTTCAAAGAGGCCATGGTTCCAAAGTCCACCTCTGGAAACAGGAGAATTGACTTATAGAAAAATAATAAATCTATTTGACAAACAAACCATTTAAATTTTTGAGAGATGAAAACTGATGACATAAACATTCAGTACTTGATAACAGCTCATAATTATAATCGTTAATAAATGTTCTGTAGAATAAGAAGAAAAAATAGATGAATAAGTAACATATATCTAAATACTGAAAAAAGAATACAGAAATTAGAATTCACAAGATACTATACATGATATATTTAAAGGATGGTTTCTTAATTAAGATTCTTACAAAGCAATTCCATTCTATGAAAAGGTCAACTTTTTCAAATATTTGGCAACAACAGAGAAGACCTTAAATACTGTAAGCTTGCTAAACAAAGATGTATATATAAGATATACTAAGCTAACACATGAGCATCTTTTTATGGATATTGGATTGAATATAACAAAGGCATAAAATAAATACAAGTACTTAAAAATCCTCATGCTATGATTAAATAAATCCACACAGTTCTGAATGAAACACAACAAGTATGGAAAAAGCAAACACTGCAGAATTAAAAGTGCAAATCAAAATAAAAAGCTAAATAGTGATCACATCAAAATGTCATTTGACTATTTTGTTATAATACTAAAACAAATAAAGTATAAAACAAATATAAACTCACTGTATTACATTGTTAATCTAAAATAATGGAAGGAAAATCAAAGGACAGAGCTTGTCTACTGTAGAGGGAGAGGATAGCAGGACACAGCACAGGGGAGTAACAAGGCCAGGGGCGAGATTTCTTCTCCTTTTGAATTTCCAAACAAGGCAATGTTAACTTTGAATTTCAAAAATCCAAAATATGTTCAACTTTTATAGGTGCTTAAAATTTGAAATTGATATGGCAATTCATTATGGAACAATGGAATATTTTTTAATAGATTGACATCAATTTAGGTTGATTTGAATAGAGGTGAATATACTGCTATCTCATTTATCCTTCTTTGAAAAGCAGGCCATGCAAACATTTTTCGCCTTAAAAAAAAAAAAAACAAAAAAAATTTCAAACCAAACAGAAAGGGTAAACTTAAACCGAAAGCAAAAAACAAAGGATTTTGAGGACATCACAAGGGAGCTAACCTTGACTGACACAGCGACGGGGCTTTCCTGCTATCCTGCTTCCACTCTCTGCATTGCTATTGTTTCTGACAACAGCAGAAGCTGGTCTGTGCATGTGGCCATCCCACAAATCTCGAACCTTGGTTCGATAGTCAGATACATTTTTGTTGCCTCCCAGTGAGTGCAAAGCAAACATGGTGTTATACACGTCACTGTGGACATCTTTGGCAGCCTCATTCTGTGGTGGCACCGATCGGCACCTTTCCGAGTTTCCTCTGTTTCCCCTGACTTCATCAGCATTAAACTTAGGAGTATGAATAAGGTTAGTAGTACTAGAAGGAAAACCACCACTATTGCTGAAAGAGGCACGCCCAAACTGACCACTAGGTGGTCGTGTTAGTTCACCTTCAGAGCTGGATGCGTTGTCCTCATCCGACGATCTCTGGGATGGCATTTTCTGGTCCTCGCTAAATACTTCAGTCACAGAGGCAGAGGTGACGTGGGAGGATATGGCTCCCACTGCGGTCATGCATGCCATTTCACATGCCTGACTTACTGAACCATGCTGTGGCCCCTGGACTATGGGGAGGACAGTTGCAGTGACAGGTGTGTGTGACTCCTTGACCCCCGGAGATTTGGGGGGAGCAGTCCCACGAGTAGTGTGGTAAAAGTCAACAGCTGCACCAAAAAATTCATAAATACTGTGATCAAACTTTCATAAATCATGCTTCTTTACATATTTCATGTGAACATTTTCTTAATGCAAAAGTTGTAAACATTTTTTTGTACCATGCTTTTCTCTTTTAAAATGAGGTCAAGAAATATATTCTGAAAAATCAAAAGCAGAGGAACATTCTTCATTGAAGGATCATTACAATACATTTCAAGTGACTGGATATATATAAACTGGAAATTCAAACGCTGGATACAGTGGTGTCATGTTAATCTGGACACCTTTATCCTGAATAAAATTGTCAGGATAAATGAATCATTCAGAGAAGTGAATTGCTTCTTCAAAATCAACTAAAAATATGTACATATAGTTGTATCAAATAGAAAGGCAAAAGGAGGGGGGTTGATAAAAAGATATTTTATTTATTTAAATTATGTGTCTTTTTAAATTGTCCTATAAACAAGAGGCCCAGGGGCCACATCGCTCACCTGAGCAATTTGCTAGGAAAAAGCACATATCAGATCAGAACTGAAAGTTTACCGATGGGGGGAGGGGGCTTGAATTTTAACCCCCCAGGTGGTCATGATTTGAACAAACTTGCATCTACACTACCTGAGGATGATTCTACATCAGTTTCATCTTTCCTGGCCCAGTGGTTCTTGAGAAGAAGATTTCTAAAGATTTTTCCTATATATTCCTATGTAAAACTTTGATCGGCCATTTTGGCCCCACCATACCCCTGGGGGTCATGATTTGAACAAACTTGAATCTACACCACCTGAGGATGATTCTACATCAGTTTCATCTTTCCTGGCCCAGTGGTTCTTGAGAAGAAGATTTTTAAAGATTTTTCCTATATATTCCTATTTAAAACTTTGATCGGCCAATTTGGCCCCACCATACCCCTGGGGGTCTTGATGTGAACAAACTTGAATCTACACTACCTGAGGATGATTCCATCTCAGTTTCATCTTTCCTGGCCCAGTGGTTCTTGAGAAGAAGATTTTTAAAGATTTTTCCTATTTATTCCTATGTAAAACCTTGATCGGCCATTTTGGCCCCACCCTAACCCTGGGGGTCATGATTTGAACAAACTTGAATCTACACTACCTGAAGATGACTCCACATCAGTTTCATTTTTCCTGGCCCAGTGATTCTTGAGAAGAAGATTTTTTTCAAAGATTTTTCCTATATATTCCTTTGTAAAACTTTGATCGGCCATTTTGGCCCCACCCTACCCCGGGGGGTCATGATTTGAACAAACTTGAATCTATACTTTCTTAGGAAGATTCTACATGAGTTTCATCTTTCCTGGCCCAGTGGTTCTTGAGAAGAAGATTTTTAAAGATTTTTCCTATATATTCCTATGTAAAACTTTGATCGTTCATTTTGGCACCACCCTACCCCCGGGGGTCATGATTTGAACAAACTTGAATCTACACTACCTGAAGATGATTCCACATGAGTTTCATCTTTCCTGGTCCAGTGGTTCTTGAGAAGAAGATGAAAATGTGAAAGTTTACAACAACGACGACAGCAACGACGACGACAGATAACGGACAAATTTTGATCAGAAAAGCTCACTTGAGCCTTTGGCTCAGGTGAGCTAAAAAGACCATTTCAGAGATATTAAAGTTTTAATAGCTGGAAAAATCATTGGGTTGAATAGTATCTTGATAAACTACACATTTCAACAATTATATAAAGATGATAAACCAATCCTGATTTATTGTTCATCTTATTTCCAACTCTCTAAATTCTCATCAATTTATGTTTCTTGGCAATGATTTGAAAATATTCTTATTCAATAAATGCAAAGTAAAATCTGCTTCAATGTAAGGCAAGGACATCGGAGGTAAACTCAAAAAATAAATATTACTTTTTCGGAGGTCACAGTTCGCTATTACTTCAAATTGAATATCCAATGATTTTGCAGCATCTATCACTATGGCTAGATACATACATGTAGGTGTGAAATAGTAATTTAATAATTAACCAGAAGTCTCTGTCGAGACTGTAGCTCTACTGGTTTGTACTTATCAAAAACCATTGCACTATTTTATGTATCTTTGTGTAGTCTACTTGTGTGCCAACTTATTTTGAAATCAAACTAAAACTGTAGAAGGAGTAGCGTTTTAAAGGAATTTCACAGAAAATTCTATTTTTAGTAACCATGGCAACACCGTTCATCGAAATCAAAAACCGATGCACTATTCTATGTATCCTAATGTAGTCTACTTGTGTGCCAAGTTATATTGAAATCAGACCAAAACTGTAGAAGGAGTAGCGTTTTAAAGGAATTTCACAGAAAATTCTATTTTTAGTAACCATGGCAACACCGTTCATCGAAATCAAAAACCGATGCACTATTCTATGTATCTTAGTGTAGTCTACTTGTGTGCCAAGTTATATTGAAATCAGACCAAAACTGTAGAAGAAGTAGCGTTTTAAAGGAATTTCACAGAAAATTCTATTTTTAGTAACCATGGCTACACCGTTCATCGAAATCAAAAACCAATGCACTATTCTATGTATCTTAGTGTAGTCTACTTGTGTGCCAAGTTATATTGAAATCAGACCAAAACTGTAGAAGGAGTAGCATTTTATAGGAATTTCACAGAAAATTCTATTTTTAGTAACCATGGCAACACCGTTCACCGAAATCAAAAACCGATGCACTATTCTATGTATCTTAGTGTAGTCTACTTGTGTGCCAAGTTATACTGAAATCAGATTAAAACTGTAGAAGGAGTAGCGTTTTTAAGGAATTTCACAGAAAATTATATTTTTAGTAACCATGGCAACACCGTTCATCGAAATCAAAAACCGATGCACTATTCTATGTATCTTAGTGTAGTCTACTTGTGTGCCAAGTAATATTGAAATCAGACTAAAATTGTAGGAGGAGTAGCGTTTTGAAAAATTGTTTACAGACAGACGGACAGACAGACAGACGGACGGACGCCGGACGCATTACTATCGCATAAGCTCTTCTGGTCTCTGACCAGTAGAGCTAAAAATTATAGACCACTTTAACAAGACATTCTGAATGAAATATCCCTTTTTAAAGTAGAAAATGATGATCCTGTCATGTTCAATGATGAAAAATATGAAGAAAAAAAATCCCAAAATTTTATCATCAAGAAGGTGACAAGTTGAAATGACTGGCATCCGCATTAACACAGCACCACTGCATATTAAGCATAAATGAACTTGTCTTCCTCAACTTGGTTTGCCTAAGTTTACTGCATACTGTTCTGGTCATTAGTGAAAGAATGTATACATAGAAGAATTTCTTCTTTTGTTTAACACATACGTAAATGGCAGAAATGTTGATAAATAATACAAAACAGAAAATGCAAGAAAAAAAAAAACATTAAAAAGATCAGATAAACAGCTTCAAAAAATAATACTGATCATGGAAAAAAAAATTTAAAAGAGAAGCAAATCACTTGAGGATGAGGAGGAGGAGGAAAGAGATCGCCGAGGAACAGAAAAACGACGTTTAGGGGAGGGGCAGGGTAGAGGTGTGAATGTCTGGTAGAATGTGAACGGGTGTGCAGCGTCTGAAATCAAGCATTCCTACAAACTTAGCTAACTGGTTCAAAATACAAAATCACATTTGTATACAACTTTTTAAAACAATTCATATGTTTTCCAGTGATCATTATTTGTGGATTGTTAATTAGACAATTTTAGTTTGTAACAGCACACACAATAAAATCAAGGTCAATGAGACAAGTTTTGCCATTGGCTTCTTACCTTCTGGGAAGAACCAATTACAGTGCGTGATGAAGAGTTCTATCATGTTACTAATGGTTCCACTTGTCACCATGTTTGGACTGTAAAATAAATTTTAATTTAACAAAACTATTATGGACATGTCAAGAACTTGCTTTTCCTACATTCACTGTGAAGGACAATTAATCTTTTTTTATCATTTTTTAAAATCATTTTTTACAGCTTGATCAGATCTGAAAACATCATTGGTAGAACACACGACCATTACCCATCTGTATTACAAGTACCCTCACTTCTAAATATGATTTAGATAAATAACTTACCCATTATCTCCCTCTGACCACAGTAAATTTGGTCCTATGACAATGGCTATGTTACTTGGAGTCATCTTATTTTCATCAGACTTCTCAGCTAACTTAGCCAAAAATTTAATTAAATACCTGGAAAAAAATATAATAAATTTAATGTTTTGTAGTCATAAAAAAATATACTTTATTTTAAATAAAGATCAATATAAAATATATTTGGAGGTACTCACCTAAAATTATTATAGTTTTGTTCAGGTAATTTACGTATTGCAGCCCACAACTGTTGCAATTTCTGTTCTTGCGGCCTGAAATCATTATCAAAATTTCATGCACATATCCATGAACTATACATACAATTTATCCACATGTGTTTATTTTAATATACTGTATACAGAGAATTTTTATTTTCGCCCCTTTTGCCCTTGTCACAAGTGGGCGAATTTAAAATGTAACGAATTCAAAGAACACAGTTTAAATTCTTTGACAGAATTGGGACATTTAAAACTGGGCAAATTTGTAAGCAAGTGTAAAAGGGTGAAAATAACCCTGATACAGTAAACTTGATATAATGAAATTGTCTTTGTCTCCAGACTTACAATTTAGCAGCTTGAATGAAGTCAGGGTAGAGTTGTGTTGTAAGCAGTGGTTCTGGGAGTTCCCTAAAATATTGCTTCAGAGCACCTGCTACAGTATGTAAATCTATGGCATACTCCTCCATGTCTATCACATTAGCATCAAAAGCATTCTGAAATGTCAAAAATTTATAAAATCTTAAAGTTCTCAACTATATTGATCATTATACATTATAGTTTTCAGAACAGTGATTCTTATTCCTATTCTTCGATTGCTGAATGTTAACGGATGACATACCTTTAGCTTCTTTACTTTTGAAGCCATTCCTGCTATTCGAAATAAACCCTACAAAAGAAGATGAAATCAGATTTCAATGCTTTACATAGTATGTTGTAAAGTATCTCTCTGGAATTTTAATAATTTACCATGTAAAGTACAAACTATATACCGAATTTAAGTCTTAAATCACACAGTCAACTTTCCTTGAATATCTAAATATATTTTAAAATCTTTACCGGTATGTTCTATACAAAAAAAAAAATTATAAATGATTATTATCATCTTTATACTCATAAAATGACTACACATAAATTATATCCCCAAAATTATAATATAAGCAAGACATGTGATTTCCACCAGGATTATATAGGAAATACTATCTTCTTAATTTTGCAAAAATGCCTGGAAATGTTCCCTAATTTTTTGTGAACATTTATTTCAATCACAAATTCTTGGAAAAAATTATTATTACTGAGTACCTTTACGCACCTTGTCACCTGACATCAACATTATTTCAGAGATTACTAACCTCTTCCTCTAAGCCCCCATCTATGAGTGTTATAACACACACTTCTAGCACCAGAGCTATGTCCCTCCCAGTGACCCTCAAGTGCTCCTCCAAAGGAACCCCATAGACTTTCTTAAGTGGATTACATTCTGTAAAACAAATATAAAAGAACAGATAAGTACATTGTACTATGATTTCTAAAGGAATTCAATTTTAGAAAGCCTTTCAAAAATGTTTAAGGTACTTACCTAGTGCTTCGTTTAGTTTTGGTATTGCTTGATCTAGAGCCTCCAGGGCTCTTTTGTGATATGCTCTTTGAGCTTCCAACAACTAGATGAAAAAGAAAAGTAAGAATTTTAGAACAACAAAACACATACTGTTTATATTTCTTTATTTTTTCAATAAAATATTCCAAAACTCTATCTATTGTGCTTATGATACTATGTTTTTGTAGAACTCTTACTAAACATGTAATTTAAAAGTAACTGTCTTGGAGTTGATCTTCTATATTTATATGCAAGTGATTTAGTAGATACTTACAGATATTAATTTACTACTATGCTCGGCTTCTTTTGCTACAAAGTTGAACATTTCTGTGGCTAGGTTATCCTACAAAAGAAACAAATGAAAACATTACAGTAAATAAAAAATTTACAGTCTCTGTATTCTCTTTTTTTTTCAATTTTCATTTTTTTTAATTACATATGCAAAGTGACTATGTAAGTTTTAAATTTTCCTTTTTAAAAAATCTAATTTCAGATGTAGCCTTGACCCTTACCCGAGCCTGGTACATTTTATTACACGACTCTTCATACTCCTCTTTGAGTTGGTCTGCCTTCGCTGATGCCGTCACCATGTTGGTACCATGAACCTGACTTTGTTTTACTGCCTGGTTCCATCTACAGTGTAACATTTAGGTAAATAATACAGAGTTGAATTTCAACATCTGAACATCAATACCTTAAATATCAGTGTATTCATAAAGTAAATTTGAAGTCCCTATCACTTTTTTTGTAAGGTGCCACATATTTTTCAAAAGTATTTCAAGGTTTTTTTTCTCAATCTCACTTCGTTTGACATAACAAGGTTAGATTCAGTACATTGAACAATGGAATGATAATCTGGATCTGATATGTAAAGCTCAAACCAACTTAACTGTAAAACATGTCAACACTCACCTGCCTTTACACGAGTCCATGTCCAAAGTAAGCTTGGATAACTGTTTTTTACACTTATTTATCACAGGAATTTCCTCCTGAAATCCAAACACAAAATATATCAGAACTGACCATTAATACTGGAATATAAAATGAAGTCATTCATCAATAAGGAATTTCACTTTGTTTAGTGTTTGTAATAGTTCTTACATCTAGTATTTCTTGTATAGGAGATAGGACCTTTTGTTCTACATCTATTTCATATTGCAACAGTTCCTTTGCCAGAGTGGTCTGGCATTCCCCACAGGTCTGGAACATTGTACTAAAATAGAAAGTCAGGAAAAATGTCACCAACCTCAATTCTTTTCTCAGTAATAAAATGAGACAGGTGCCTCTGAGATAAAGGTACATGTATCAATTTTTGTTGACAAAGTATGGCATTAACAGAGTCATAAAATACGCCAATTAAGACAGATTTTATCATTGAAGACTTGTGAAAAAAAAGATTTGTGTACTTTTTTGGAAAAGTCCATTATCTAAATATAGAACTTACCCCATTACAGAATCTGTCCCAAGGAGTCCACTGCTCTCGATCATCCCTAGACCCAAGGCATTTTCTGGTAGCTTTTTCTGAAATATCAAAATTTACCAAAATATAAAAAAAAATTCTTTTGCAAATTATATTTTTTGTAATGTAATGATTACCCAGTTAAATTCCTTTCATTTCATTTCTACAATTTCTAGCTCCTTCAAAATCTTTTCCTGTCAGAAGTGTACAGAGCTAGCATCTTAAATTTCATCCAAAGCAACAGTTACCATATAAGTTGAATTTTTAGCAAGGACTTAATTTTGGCATTATTAGCGAGGGTGCCAAGGTCGCTAAAATCTAATATCGCTAATTATTTATCTTGGTTTATTTCTAGTAGGTTCTTTGGTGAGCTTTTTAAAAATCGCTAAAATTACATCTCCCTAAAAATAACCAATTTTAAGGTTAAATCGCTAAATTTGCATCTCGCTAAAATTTCCACTTATACAGTAATACTAGACAATGTGATTCTTTGTCAATAAAACAAATCCCCCCCCCCAACAAAAAAATTCTGCAATGTAGCAAACTTTTTTTTTTTTTTTAAATATGAATTTATGGTTATCAATTTTTCATTTGCAGATTTAGTGAAAACAGCTTTTAAAAGTAAAAGCTTATGGATAAGAGATTTATACCAGTCTTTTTTCGAAGTCTGTGCCTTGCCCCTGAAGACAACCTGAGATCTTTTTGGCTGTGGACTGACATACTGATTTGACTAACTCGACTCGCTTCTCTACTGTCTGGAGATCCTCAGATAAAACTTCAGATTTTTCTGCCCTGAAACACATAATTCATTTCTGGATATTAATTAAGTTCATCAGCATTTTTCCTGAAAATGACCACTTATTCACATTTATAGTTCAAATGACATGATTCTTGGCAAACTGCTGGGAAAAAAGAAACCCAGTACATTTATTATTTCCCCCTCTACCAAGCAGCATCTGAATAAACATTTTATAATGTACGTAGATACATATGACAATTTGACAGGTTTTAATACTAGTAAAAAGTCAAAGACTTACAAAAAATTGAGTAAAATTTAATTTAGAACATAGAAAATGCTAAAATAGCTTGCTCACACTCACTTCACAAGTTTCTAACATACATGCAATTAAGTAGTAAATTTTTTTTTTCAAAACTACGGATGCTACAACAGAAAAAGTTGCCTATATTTAATGTTACCCATGATGTACTGTATTAAATTTTTAACCTTCTTTCCGATATATTTTGAAAAAACAAACAAAATTAATCAATAAATCTTAAAATGGTAAGATGGTTCCAGGATATTGAGTAATTTAAGTCTGTCACATGAACTGTAGATAATTTATTTCTATCATTCACTCCAGGTTTTACTGAGAAAAAGGCCATGGTGATTCACCAGAACAGAGGAATGTAATGTGTACCTAAAGACAATGCTCTGTTTCATATTTGTTCTTCTACACACTGAGGGGTTCCCTGTAATCAGAAAGGAGGTGGGTGTTCTGTTTGTTAATGCACACCTCTAGTCCTAATATCACCGAACAACACACCACTACAACTGTCAACAAGACATGCAGATTACATAACCTACACACTAAAGCTATCAGTGACATCTATAAAATAGGTAACTAAAGCTATCAATGACATCTTTACGTAACTAATCAGCATGATTAGCAGAGTCACAATTTATGCACTTTTTTCCCCAAAAAATCTTTTAAACATGCATTTTCTTGAAGATTTTTTATTTTGTTGCTTTCATTTTGTTTGGATATGTAATCATTAATGTGTCATACTTATGTGGCCAGTGCATGTGAATATATGGAGCATATAAATTTAAAGCTATTTAATTTGTGCCTCTTAAAACAACAAATTATAATAACTACCCTTGTGAATGCATTATGATTTGTACAAGTACACTCTTCATTATCACTTTTAGAAAGATCGAGGCACTTTCAAATATCTGTGCTTTTCCTTCCCTAAACAAGCTACACGTATGCATAGAATTAGGGTATCTTTCCTCATTTATCACAATTTTATATCAAAAAATCTAAATATAGATGCAAATGCTTCTAAATCTAGTCTAGAAATCAACTTGACATACATATCTCCTTGCACTTCCACACCAAACTAAAACTTTTTACTATCAAATTTCTCTTCTTAAAACATTTTTATTTCTCCACTTGTATAAGATATTTCTATGGAAATGTATAAGATTTATTGAATTTGCAGTGAAATAACAAAAAGAGCTTTTCTTCGTAATTATAATGAGCTATACCTCCCTTCATGAATCATACTTTCTTAACCTTCTCACACAGATTCTATACAACCAGAAATGTTGGTGTTTTGGGTGATCTTCTCTAGATAGAGCATTATTATTTGACTCAATGATAAACAATGTTTCTAGATTATTATGAGATGTTTCTGACCAGAATCTTCTGGTTTCATTCCATCTTTACCACTTCCAAGCCTCCACGTTGTTTTTTCACAACCAAATCAATAACAACATTGCAGACTTAACTTCTTAACCCCTCCCTATCACTGATAATCAAAATGAAAATTATCATTTCCTGGATACTTCCTTCAAGTACTTCTTTACATGAAGCATCTAATGTTTACTTTCAGAAATTGATAAGCCACAAGAATTGGAACATATGATTATCACTTAAAAAATATTGTTTCCAATCAATTAAAGCTCACAAAGTCATTCAAAAAATGTCTTCTATTGAGAGGATAAACAAATTTCACCCAAATTTAAACACTACCATAACAAATAAAATTAAAAAAAAAATTCCTTTCTCCGAAAAGTTCTGTTCAGTACAAAATGTTGATAAATTGATCAAAGATCTATCTTTTTTTTTTGACAGTTGCACATATTTTTTAAATGTGTCTTTAAATAATATTTTAGAGTAAAGAAAGAAATCTAAGGATTCTTTTAAAAATGTAAAATCTGGAAAGAGAAAAAAAGGTCACATGTATTCATGCAGGACTTGTATATATATAAGTGTGCCATAATGTTAGATGTCGTCTGAACCCTGGACTTATGTGAACCAGGACTCGCCCCTAGTTTAATCATGTAATACAAATAATAACAGTAACAAAGATACAAACAAACAAACAATTATTTCCTTACACAAGATCTGATTGGCTAGCAAGCAGGGGGAAATTTCCATGGGCTTGAGCTGGACATAAATAATGTGATGTCACAATGCATAGTTTCTGTATCACATTAAGTGATCGACTTGATGTCACAATGCATTGTAGCATATAGTAAACCTTACTAGTCATTTGAAACACCATCGATTGGACTTTATTGAGTTTAAGATTTAATTTGGTTACCTACATAGAAAAAAAAATTTATGGTTTCCAGTTCCAGTTACTGGTGTACGGAAATTTAGCCATACAGGGATGTATTTCACGTATTCCAAAGTCTTTGGTCTCAGAATGCATGGCAAACAACCCATGCTAGATCTCCGTACATCTGTAATTGAAGCTGGGTAATTGATAGTGTTAGTACTAACTTTTATAAGGTGTTATGAATGTTTACAAAACTTGAAATGTATTACTTAAAAAAATCTTCATTGCATAAATTAAATCAAATATATTGGCCATGCAATCACATTTATAGTATCAGTGGGTTATAGTGACAGTCAAACCTTGTTATCCCAAACTCAAAGGAACCAAAAGTAAACTTCGAGATATCTAATGTTCATAGATAACAAGGATGTGATTGCCAACTCAATTAAACATATCCCTGATATTCTAAATATAAATTTTAGAGATAACAAAATTGAAATGTATCAAGTAAATATCTACTGGAATTACATGAAATTTCACAATTGACCCCCATTCCTCGAGTTGGAGGGTATGGTTAGGGGATACGAGACTGTAATTTCACTGAAAATATTCCAGATCAGTTCAACAACATCACACCAATCATTAGAATTACACTGTTGTCATGTTGTAGAGAAGCTACTTACTCACTGACATTTTCTCTATAGTTACTGTGAAAGTAAATTACTGCTGTCAGAAGTGTCAAAATAATACAGATATCTAATTAGTGTGTTAAAATGTGTCTCAGCTAATTATAACAACAGTTTCATTTATAGTGTTTATTTTTTACTTTTAAACTAACAGAAGTATTTCCTTATAAGATTCAATTACACATTTACAAATAAACAAAAGAGGAAGTATCAGTCTTTTTGTCAGCACTCTATTAAATTATGCATCAATAGCAGAAAGCTAAAAGCCCAAACCACACAATTTTTACACATATAATTTCCTGCAAAGATTTTAGCTTTTGTTTTTGTTATTCTTCTGAAAAACATGCTGAGATTAACTGAAATGGAACATAAGCTACAGAGATAATTTTCTTAACCAATTTTTGTTTTTATCAATCTCTCTGGAAAATTTAAAGAAATTAATGATTATAAGACAAAGTTAATTAGTTAATGACACTTTGGCTTTGGCTTCCTTGAGAATTTACATCATGGTTAATAAAGAGAATATACAGGAAGGAATACTAGAAATATGGTTTGTTATGAAAGAATTCAACACCCAACTGTCAAACTCTGTTTATCAACGATTAGCTCCGTTTACATAAGGATACATAAATACACAAATCTGGAATCCAAACATCTCGTTAACCAGGATGTTAGATGGAATATTCTACATGAAATGCGGAATAGACTAGGAATGAGAATGGAAAAAACACTACAAACTGTGCACTGTTAAATAAAACTTACCAAAACCTCTTAAATAGTGATGCCATGCTCAAAACGGGTCACCATGCGCCAGAATTTAACTGTAGTGTAACAGAATACAATGCATCACATTCTTATTCATCAAGTCAATATACATAAGTCACCAGAGTATAAACTAAGAATGCATATAAACTAGAAAAACTAAAAGTGGTTTAGAGTACTACAAAAATTTCTCTAATTTTTTTTTCTGTAGTTATGTGAAGCAATGAAAATGCATGCATCTTTAGATTTCTTAAAACTACTTACACCAGCACTTCAGTTATTCATGCACAAAAAAGTCCTCAAAAAAAGCTAAGGTTGATAAATAAACACATTAAGGTACACAGCCACATTCATTCAAGCATTCATCTACAGAATCCATACAGTCCCAGACCATGTTAGCATGGACAGAGAGATGTAACCAATACATAATGTACCTGCAAGGCTGAAGGCCAGGACACCAGAAATAGTACTGTTGAGTAATAATACTGAAACAGGGTGTGTTTACAGACATGTTTATCATATGGACATGTATACTTATTTATGTGTGAAATGCATTTCAGATATCTATCTAACATGACTTTGCTCTATATAAATTATAATAAACACAATGTTTTTTAAAATTCAATTCATAGCTTTTAAAATTAGTCATATAATTGGTTATCAATATACAAGTGCCCAAATCTTATTTGACACATGGCAACCTTGTAAAGGGCACTAGAAGCATTTCTCTTTTATCATAAGGAAATATTAAAATGAATCAAGGACTTAAACAAATGAATAGATTTATTGTCATAATTTATCACTACCATTATACACAAATCATTTCATATCACTTTCCATACATAATTTTTAAATAAGATAAATACAATGTATCACCTTAATAGATTACAAAAGCTTTATTTAAAACAATACAGGGTGATATCAATTGAGTTACAGTAGCAAGGTTGTATTTAAGAAAAATTCTCAGTTGTATTTTTATTTTGTATACTTAAAAATTTATGCCCAGGTTTACAAACTGTGAAAATTCATAATGTATCCCATGCAAAATGACTATTTTTAAGATTCTAGACCAAATTTCAATTCATTACAAGATTCAAAAATCATTTAATCATTTTTAAATGAAGATTAAATCTCTGTTCTGTCATAAACTAAGAGTTCTCTTATGTTTAAATTCTAAAAAAGAATAGGTAACAAGAGGTCCATTGGCCACAATGCTCGCAAGGATGACTGTGGTCCTTCTGTTCTTTATTAACAGGTGTTTCCCTCTTTGTAAGATTAAGATAATGTAATGTGGCCCCACCATACCCAAAAGCATCACAAGTTGCACATTTTTAATTCTACAATACCTGAGGATGCTTCCATCAAGATATGATTATGATTTTGACTTTGCTGTTCTTCAGAAGAGAGAAGATTTTACTTATGTATTCCTATGTAAAAACTTTGATTGCACATAATAGCCTGACATTTCCTGATAAGGGGTTACAATTTGAAAAAATAAACTTGAATAATCAGTAACTCAGAAAGATTTCACATATATTTCTTGAACCAGTGGTTCTTGAGAAGAAGTTTTTTAATGATCTCATAGAATTTTTAACAGTTCCCCTTTGAAGAGGGTGTGTCCCTTCCTTTGAACAAATGAAATTCTCTTTATCCAGGAATACCTTGTGCCAAGATTCATTGAAATAATAATGCCAACACAATGACAGACAAAATTCAATCACTCAGATAACCTCATTTGATCCTTTGGCTCAGGTGAGCTAAAAGTTCTAAAAACTGAGTAATATTCTCTTTTTTTCATTATATGAAATAGTATTGAAAACATTTTACCTACAAGGATATCAATTTAAAAATAAAACCATGTAAAAAAATACTACTGGGGTTTTAATACTCAATTGTGAAACAATAAAAAAAAAACAAAAATTGTTTCATGCAAGAACTGCACACATGCATCTCACAGGTTTTTCATTCATGGCTAACAAAGACTATCCCTAGCAATTTGGAAATTATTGTCAAGTTTTATGCATCTGGACTTCAAAAGAAACTACTCAAAACAAATTAAGATTTAGAACTGCATAGTATAAGGCAACATATCAACAGGCAGGGAGAAATGGATACAAAGAGAAAAAAATCCTAACTGAAATGGCAAACAGACAAGTAAACCCCTCTCCTTCATAGAGGTGGTGTGTATTAAAAATGTGTTGGTTTATACACTTTTGAACAATGCTGTTGTTATCACAACCTCTTTAATAGATATGGCATCTGTTCATGTTTAAAATAAAAAAGAAAATAAACTTAAAGGATTATCACATTTTTGCATGAAATTTTCAGATTCTATAGCTAGTATAGTACTACACTCTAACCAGTTATTCAAAAATAAATCTGACTATATGTCAAAACTTTTCAAAAATGTCTTCTTTTATTTTAAGTTTTAAAATCTAATGCATGGGTGAGCTAAGATTGCTTCATCAATTAATAAAGATTTGATTTGCAGGCAAAAAACAAATACCCCTGTATGTGGCTTATGTATCATATAACCATTTAAGTTTTTAATCTATATATGCATGCTGCTAGTTCGATTAGAAAGATTTAAGGTTTCTACATAATTTGAATCTCTCTTGGTGTTCATTTTTCACATGGACAACTGATACAATAGAGGATTACACAATGCAAATTATCAATAAAACTTTGCAAAGTTTGATCAATAATATGATTTTGCTACTCAGTTAGCTATGTTTCTCCAGCCAACAAATAACAATATTGATCCGATCCCTTAGTTGTTTTTCGCTTTTTAAGTATCTAACAAATTTTAATATAGTTATATAATAAAATCTGTTCTCTGGCACAAACAGAGTATACATTTGAGCATGTAATTTCATATATCAAATTCATAAATGAATTCTGACATTCTTAAGGACACACTTTGAAAATATCAAGTGTACAAACAGTGTAATCACTATTGAAAACGAACAGTAAAATATATTTACAAAGATATTCTTTGTAGCTCTGTAAAAAAGAATCGGTGAGAGAAATAGATATCATAAGCAAATATATACAAACCACACCTTCCCAAATTTTGGTCTGCAATTTGTTTCACTCTCAAGAAATTTTTTCGCAGATTCTCCTTTTTAAGCATGGCTTGGAGATGAAATAAAAGTTGTCCTGGGTTTTATCTCATGCAATTCCACTGCACGGTCATCGTCTGTCAACTTTCCTTGTCACAGGATTCTGTAGTTTACACAGGAAATGAAGTTCACTTGAGACGAACAGACAGACAAGTGCCCTATTGTTACACGAAATCCTATTGATCAATTATCTCAGCTTGACCAATCAAAATTAGCCTTAGAGAAGCAGCGTGGAATAGTGATAAACATGGCAGACCTCGTGGAAAGAGTTCTACAAGAAGCAGCTGAAAAAGAGTCTAGATACAAAACAATAGAAGTTCATAAAGATATTGAATTAGAAGTAGACGCAGGAAACTTGTTGACTGTCGATACAAATCCATTAGACTCAACAAAATTGAGGTGAGATGTTTGTATGTACATATCTTATAACTTTTAACTTGACATTTTATCACTTTCAAATAAACAATCACACCCAGGTAACCCCTCAAATGGCTATATTTCTAAAAATAAAAATCAGACACAGTGCTTTGAGTATATATTGCTATAGCAACATATAAGTCATCAAATTATACAGAAAATTTGAGAAAATGTTAACATCAAATCTGTGGCTGAACAACTTTAATGTTTAATGGGGAGTAGATTTAATAATAGAAATTTGCATGGTTGTTTAATTTTAAGACTTTTTAGCAGAGTTCTTGAAATCTTTTGGTCCTGGCGGCAAGACCAATAAAAACAACTTAGGACCAACAGAGACATAAATAACAGTGATTCGCAACTGCTCAAAGTCTCCGGCGTTGCCTATTGTTTAATTTTTCAAATCTTGTGAAATTTAAATCAAGTAAAACTTAAAAATTATCAGGGAATACACAGAAATTTGTTTTAATTTATATTAACAAATTATTCACAATATTATTTTTTCAGAAGATTGCTTAGGAAATACAATATAACAAAGGACAAATCCGAAATTGCAACAGGTGACTTTTGATTGGCCAAATTGCTGCAATTTTGCTGACTGTTGATCATCATGATAATTAGCCACGTTTTTTTGCCTAGATTGCTTTTAAAGATCAGTAAAACTTTACAAATGATACACCCAAAGATGGTATAATTACTATAATTAATTTTACTTAAGAATGAAATACAAGACAAAAAAAGAGTTATTCTTAGGATAGCACCAGGACCATCACATATCTCTGTAAACAAACATATGCTAATGGCGGAGTTGCAAATCTCAGTTATTTATGTCTCTGGGACTGATTACTTTGATTCTTACAGATCTTGACAGAGCAAATTGTGAAAATCCCACTTAATATCACACAAATTCCCTATAACCAATGGATCGTTATCTGTCTAACGTACGCTTTTCAGTATCTTGTAATGGCTTCTTCGGTCAACGCAAGTGCCAACCTATGATTGATAAACTGTTAAAACAAATTTGTTGACGACGCAAAGTTAAGCCAGGTGAGAAATTCCAACTATAGATGAAAAACTTTTAAAGAAAATCGACCCTATGAGAATTCAACTAAAATTCTTATTCAACAATCAAATCGGCATTAAGTATGCAGTGTGTATTGAAGCAGGGTGCAAAATGTATTGATAATAATATTAAAATTGAAATATTATACAGTTTTCATCTTTTTATAGATTTTTTTGGACTGATAGAAATCTGACTGACAGCAGAAAAAGATTTCAAGAACTCTGTTTTAGTATTATATCTCTTCTTCATTTATTTTGATCAAATTTGAAGTTACAAGTGGATCAGAGTAATCTAAAAAGAGGGCCAAAAAAGATCCATTTTAAATCTAACTTTTTTCTTCATACCATAAAAAAATATATATAATATTTTTAATTTATATAAAAAAGGTTAATTAATATGCTGTTTGTTATTTACTAAACATTTCACTAGTAGACAGTTTATATCACGTTAGTCTCCAGCTCTTTGTCTCTATTACAGGTTAGAATTTATTTTTGTAACAAGGAAGATTTAGAAATCTGCAGTGATAAAAAACTTTGCATGTGTACCAGTAATATTTGTCATCATTTATAATTGCAGTTATCTACATTAAAACTTATCATTTGTAGAAAGACTAGAGAAGAATATTTGAAAAATCTAGCAAGAGACAATACACAGGTCTTGATAAACACTCTGTGGCAGGTAGGTCAATTATTTTGAAAACACGTCAATAAAGCAAAGCTCATTTTATTATCATTCTCAATAAATTTCTAGGAAAAATTGTTATGAAGGAGACGCTGATACATGTATTTATAATCTTTTGTAGCTTCCAACAGAGAAAGTAGATGAGGCAATAGTTGTAAAGGTATAACTTAATATTCAAACTTTGTTTCCTTTTAAAAAAAATTTCACTGTATATAAAAATAGAAAAAAAGTAAATTAACTTGGATTTTGCCCACGGGTGATAAGTAAAGACGAGATCACCCGTGGGTTTCCGACGATGATATCACCAAATTATTGAAGTTTTTTTCAGACTCTTGCAAATGTCTTTATACTTTTGACAAAGTAATACTTATTGAAATGAAATTTAATTACAGCTTCCAGACCCTAAAATTCCAATTCCCAGAGAAAAACCTGTGAGTTCTCCTTGCACTTTAGATTCCAATTCCATATGCATTTACAATTTTTAATACACATGTATATTTGTATAAATAATTGTGTTTGACTTCTTCAGTCAACAATATGTCAATAATTCTGAACCCATATGGCACTTTTTGTTATGGATAGTTGCTTTATTGTCTAATGTCAGTTCTGTAATTCATGTACATGTTCAATATTCAAAATGTTATGATACTTTATACTTTGCTCTGTATACAGTTTATGAATAGACTGGAAAGTGATTTATTTTATGGCAGGTACCTAAAGATAAACCCCTCACAAAGTGGCAACAGTATGCACAGCTTAAAGGAATTCAGAAACGAAAGAAAAGCAGAATGGTTTGGGATGATCAAGGAAAGGTATATTTATGATAAGGCATTTTCACAAATTTGTGTAATTATGTACCTGGCAGAATCCATAGTTGTGGGAGGGAGAAGCAGATGTTAACATACAAACAACGCATATATGTATACATTGTTGTTTCTTTTCAGGTGTAGTTACTCATATTACTATTGTTTTTCTCTCTCCCTCTTTTACACAAAATAGTGAAAAGCAATAAAAAAACATTAAACTAAAAAGTAAGTTGCGGGTTTGCTTGTTTCATTGATTTTGGTACACAATTTCGATGATTTGAGCGGTTTTTAGTGCACATTTGATTATGACGTCAGTTATGTCACAAAGGCAACTTTACATTGTTTCCCATTTAATTCTCTGCAAATGACTTCAAGTCTATGAATCAAGTAAAATACAAAGTGCATGCTATTGTAAGTAAACCTCATACAAGTTTTTTTTCATTTAAAAATTTCAGTTTGAATTCTGATGTGATTACCGGTATATGTAATATCTTAGGAGTCAGGACTAATTAAATACAATACCAAATGAAAGGAATAATTTATATTGTAAGTATAATGTTAACTAAACTGGTAAAAGTCAGTCAGAATAAATCAGCGCAAAAGTTATGGTATGCAGAAAGAAAGTTATCAGGAATAAAAATTGCTTAGCGGAAAACTTGAGGGGTTGTATGTGCGTACATTATTTAAAACTCAGGGGAACATACGTATTGCATCATGACTGCCAATCAAAGCTGGGGCGAAAATTTGCGTATAAAACGGATTAAATTTAATTACATGTACATGTATTTTCCTGGGTTTTTAGCTCACCTGAGCCGAAGGCTCAAGTGAGCTTTTCTGATCACATTTTGTCCGGCGTCCGTCTGTCCGTCTGTCTATCTGTCTGTCTGTCCGTCTGTCTGTCTGTAAACTTTTCACATTTTCGACTTCTTCTCAAGAACCGCTGGGCCAATTTCAACCAAACTTGCCACAAAGTATCCTTGGGTGAAGGGGATTCAATATGGAACGCCATAGCTGCCTTAAGGTATGGTACATAATGTTACATGGTGTGTTCTATAAAATAAAGGGTTGAATCAATATAATAAAGGGTCACCACTCCTTGTTAAAGGGTGAAGCGCACATAATACATGGTGCGTTTGATATAATAAAGGGTCGTTTCTTTATATTAAATGGTCACCACTCCTTGTTATACGGTGAAAGATACATTATAAATGGTGTGTTTAATATAATAAAGGGTCGGTTTGATGTGTTATATGGTCACCACTCCTTGTTATCGGGTGATAGGTGTCTAAATGGTGCATTCGATATAATAAAGGATCGGTTTACTATGTTAAATGTTCGCCGCTACTTGTTATGGGGTGAAGTATACAAATTAAATGGTGCATTCGATATAATAACGGGTCGGTTTACTATGTTAAATGTTCGCCGCTACTTGTTATGGGGTGAAGTGTACAAATTAAATGGTGCATTCGATATAATAACGGGTCGGTTTATTATATTTAATGGTCGCCGCTACTTGTTATAGGGTGAAGTGTACAAATTAAATGGTACATTCCATATAATAAAGGGTCGGTTTCATATGTTAAATGATCGCCGCTACTTGTTATAGGATGAAGTATACAAATTAAATGGTGCATTCGATATAATAAAGGGTCGGTTTAATATGTTAAATGGTCGCTGCTACTTGTTGTAGGGTGAAGTATACAAATTAAATGGTGCATTCGATATAATAAAGGGTCGGTTTAATATGCTAAATTGTCGCCGCTACTTGTTTTAGAGTTAATGGTAGATAAATGGTGTGTTCGACAAAGTAAATGATTGGTTTACCATGTTAAATGGTTACTGTTACTTGTAATATGATAAAAGGCACTTAATACGAGGGTTGTCCCGTAAAATCGTGGACAAGTTGTCTAGTTTGAAAAATAATCATCACTGCGTTTTGAAATTTTCACCACTTTTTAATAGATAAATTATGCATATACATAGCAGATTTCAAATAGATATATGCATAGGTAAACAAATTGAGATATTTTATGTTATGTACTGTATCGCCCTACGGCGCACGGATGATAACGTCAAAGTTATTAAAACAGCGTCACGTTTCATCTTTGCTAAACT